TCTCAAAACTAAACTATATTTGACCTGTGAGAGAACTTTGACATTGCCGTTTATAAACAATTTTTTGTAAATGGCTATAAATTTATACATAAATATACATACAAAAGGACTGGGGAACCCCTTTTAAAAAGCCATTCTAATTTATCATTCAAATTTAAATATTATGAAGTTATAGTACAAATTCAGCCCACCGCCACACAGAAGCCCAAGCTAATTTTGTGCCACTGAAAGATGAAACCTGCAACATCAACCTACTTCCGTCTCAAAAGAGAAAATTACGAAGATATAACACGTTATTTAGCTACCCAATGGAGCGAAACACCGGCAGCAACAAAGAAGATGTGTACAATGTGGCATGAAATTAAAATAAATGATTGACATTAGACAGCTGACACAGGAATTTAGTCAAATCCTTCCTTTGTTTTAAGCTACATCTAACTTGGTTTGGCCACTGTTAAATGCTTACCTTCATACTGTACACGCATTAGGCTGCAGTATATAGAATATTTTTGCCTATTTGCAAAGCAAAGCTCTTCCGGTATCGAAGTGAGCTCCCCCACGGTAAAAAATGTTGGCAAAATCAAAAACAGTTTCAAAACTGCACGTTTCAGGTTTTGGGGAGTTATTGTATTTTGCTGCATTTTTCTTTTGATTGACATATTTCACTAGCCTCCTAACTGGCTAGCCTTAGCCATTCTGGCTAGCTGAAGTAATTTACAAATGACTGCTCCTAGAGGAAGATCCCTTATTCTACATTAAGCAACAAGTGCCATTAGGCAAAACAAAAACATTAGAATAACTAATAGTAGCCTACATAAACCTTCAATAATTCAAATGTGCATTTTAACCATTGAATGCGCGAATATTTAAAACTTGAATTTTATTTGAATAACAAAGGCTGACTTCCCAGGCCTAATACATACATTAATATATGTCCTGAATAGGTGAAAACAAAGGTTAGCAATGAATTTTGTTCTGGTGAAACAAAAAGTCAATTCAGTAACTAAAAAAATGCATATAAAAAGTTTTAACTCATGTACTGTAATTGTAATACAAAGAAGTGATCAGGCACTCACACTTCTGATAAGCTTCAAGGAAATAGTCTTGCATAACAGAAATTGGTTGCTTAACATTTAATCCCCAGTAATTACCATCTGTTTTAAATACCACCAATACAATGAATTTACATTTACCCATAAATTAAAAGCAAAGAGCAAAAACCTTAAACCTTATTCCTCACAAGCCAACCTATAAGGAACACCGCCCATGTCTAGAAACACCAATGCCAACTTAGTATTGAAATAGAAAAACACCCACATGTACAAACTATTTGTATGTACAGCCAGAAATACCACCCATGACCTACCTACTATCATCTGCACAACTAAGACTTGCCGTTACTGGTAATCAATTTCCAAAACTTGCAGCTCAGCAGTTACAGCACTACAGAATACTAAGAATTCCTTTACAAAAAATTCACATCTCCCACATTTTCATGGGTGACAATTCTGCAAATAAAAACCCACAAGAAAAGATCATGTCTGAACAAAGAAAGTATTTGGATAAACAAGAATCCCAAGCAAATAACAGGTAATAAAGGTGTTGATTAAAAAAATGTTAGGGAGTGTGTACTTAAAAAGCTTGTCCTCTGAGAAACCAACCATGGCCTGAAGTTCTCTTTTTCCACTCAATAACTATTTGAGCTCACAAGACCAAGAGAGCTTAGCAGGGAGGACAGCATGATATTCAGTAGTTGCACAGAAGCATGAGCTGATGGCTTTTCTAAACTTGTACTTTTTTGAGGCAAAGAAAATGCACAAGTCAGAGACAAAGGTGTTCAAAAGAGAGACAAAAACCTTGGCAAGGCTAACTTATGGCTGTTAGGATACCATATGATGGTAATAAGATCACTTCAACACGAGAATAAGAATTTATAGAACCTTAAGGCATTTGTAATATTGACCGCTACCTGTCATCATAACTACCCACTTGGCAATAAAGTCAGGAAACTGGAGAGAAAAAAGTACTATGGGGCCAAATGTAACAGGCAATCAAGTACATAATCCAAGGGTATACAGCCAACAGACCATCTTACTACAGCCAAGACAAAAGGAAAGCCCTTAAAACCCTCTGCGGTGGAGCTTCAGAATGTCAGGGGGACATGAAAAATACTCAATGTCTTGTTTGCAAAAGAAAAAGCAAAACACCCTAAACAATTTACTGAAGAGAACATGAATGCCTTAAGATGTAAAATACCAATAAAAATATCTAAAACATAAGTACGAAAATGCCTCCACTTCCTGAGACGCAACTTCTACTACTTCTTAAGCATGCAGTTGGCTGAACTGGCTTTCAAGCTGTAGGATGCAACAATTACATTATTGGTCAAGACACAGCAACTGGCTTTCGAAAAGAATTGCTTTCCAGGCTAACAGCATAACAGTGCAACCGTCAGTGTAATAGTCCAGCTTATTGAAATCACCTGGCTGGTAAAGTCACAGGACTTTACAACACAAGCACTTCCTCCATTTCCCATTCATCTTCACAAACCCATAAAACAGAGAAACTCTCCAATTATCCACTGCCAGAAAGTGTCCTGTATTTTCATTTCAGCAAAAACCTTCCCTAGTTTGTATGTAACAGTAATCATGATATTTAAGTAATATTCCAGCACAACTTTCTGTTCCAATAACTTTTGGATCTATTACAACCCCATATAGTTGACAGAGAGATTCTCCTAAAACCGGAGAGACTCTGGACCAAAGCGAATTTGGTGTGGTAACTGGCAGAAACACAGTTCAGGAGGTTCAAACATTCAGTCATACAATCAGAGTCAAGGTAAGGGAAAATACGGATAAGAAATGAAGCCAAGTATTCTGAATAAGTTATTTAGTGTGCTTGAGAATGATCTGCAGTATAACACTGCCCACAAATATAAATTAAGCCCCTTTAGACATTATAGGCAGTTTACCCATTTTACCGAGAGCTTAGGTCACCAATTTTACTTCCCATGCATCAATTTAATGTCTTTTTCCTAAAAGCAAATTTTAAATGACGACAAACATTCTCCCCTCTCACTTCGAATTCCCCGTATGGCATTCAGATTTGCTTTACTGCGATTATTTCCATGACCCCAGTATAATGAAACGTCCTGATAGGAAATCCTGTTTCCATTTACGCTTCACTCCTGTTTTTTTTTTTTTTTTTTTTTTTTAATATCTACTTATTGAAGCACACTGCGTCGAAGAACAAACTGTAGCAACAACGTACAGTGAATAGTTGAAGCCGCACGCCAATCGATTATCCTTGCCTCACATAAAGCAAGAACATAGTCTTTTACAGCATTACTTCGTCGTTGAAGCCTGCTGCGTGATATTCCGTATTTCAGAAGGTTGCAGCAGACATTCCACACTGCCAGACTCTCCAACATCCACCTTTACTGGCGTGCACAGCCAGCCACAACCAACGCTTACACACCGGACAAAACAATAGTGCAGAGTAAATGAGAAATCGCCTTTTATGTCTTTCACTGATAGGAAGATAAACACTCTGGTAGTACGGTCGCGAGTACGTATTCCTCATTTCACTTATCGTGAGTAAACTGAACAGATGACCTTATTTCCGAAATATGAACAGCAGAGACAAAGCAAACCAAAGCCTCTAAACCGAGTTCGCCTGAAACGTTTAAAATAGAAAAAAACTCAAATGGCACGGTTGTAGATCTTAACATTTATATTCTCTGTAACAAAAATGGGATTAACAAACAAGAAAATAAATATCAATTTCTAATAAATAAATAAAGACCACTAGTAGAGTCCGCGACGATCACAACGCTGCCCCCTTACACCAGCGAGCGTAATTAGCGACTTAGAGCAGCCTTACGTATCAAATGCAACACTATCAGCAATCTGTCGGGGGCGGTGGGAAGCCGGAAACATTTTTCGATACAAAGTGAACAAGCCATACGTTAAAGGACTGTTATTACAGGTAAATCACGTTGAATATCGTGTAACAGGTGGTAAACTCTAGAGAACTTTTCACCAATGTTAACTTCGGGTGTTTTTTGAAGGGGCGGTTAGGAAACAATTGCTAACGATGAACGCATCCAAAGCCCACACACAAAGCATCGCAGCATTTTTGCGGTAATTCCCATCGCTAGCGCCGTAAAAGTTAAGCCATCTAAAACTACGAACCAGTCCTTAAATTTCCCCACCATCTCTGGGGGCGTCACGTAAACCAGGGGCGATGTGACAAACAGTAAACAAAGTCTATAGTCTGTTACTGGTTATTTGCCTCCCCTTTAAACCCAAAAACTTGGACCTCTCCGTTTGCCCTGGAAGAACTACAGCAAACTAGCTGGATGGAGAGGCAGTTAACGTTCACCGTTCAGTTAAACCTGTTCGTTGACTTAAATAATGTGAATATGTCCAACATTTTTCTCAACATTTGTCCAACAAATACAAGTTGCGGAAGTTTTAATCCACAAACAAGCGATCACAACGTGACTCTTACCACTGGACGGATACTGACATTTTAAAAATAAATTACAAATGTCTACGGGGTAGGCTGAGTAGAACAAACAAAACAGTAGCGAAATAACCCATTAGGCAAATACTAACAGATTTAAAATAAATTCTCATTTGTGGCAAATGTATACAACTATGAGGGCAAAGCAAACTGCCGCGAATGTTGTTTTGTTTACTGTGTAAATCAAAACCAACCCCATCTTTATATCTTTATACAGCTGGATGTCCCCGGAATGTAAGACTGGCAAGCCACCCAGCCAGGGCCCAGACCGACGGGGACGCAAAAAAGTAAACGGCGACAAAAAAAGAAATCCCACGTTTGGGAGCGAGGCGGAGAAGCCAAGCAAAACCAGCGTGACCCAGGTGCGAGACAAGGCTGCCGGTTCGCCCGGGTGGGGCACAAACCTCGGTAACCATACGGTCGGTTTCACTAGTCGAACACACAGGCAATCCGCGAGCGAGCGACTAACGTACCTTCTCTGACATGCAACCGCGACGGCGGCGTCCAGCTCCCGAGTGTTACGTGGTTATATACAGTAGATTTTGGTTTTTTTGCCCCCTTTCTTCCCACTTCCAAGGCGGACCTCTCCACACCCAGCCCGTCGCTTATTAATCCGTTCTCTTTGGCGTTAGCCGACAGTAGGAGGGCTCCGTTCGGGTTTGCTGTTCTCCTTCCGCCGTCCTCTCCTCATTAAAGCCAGTTCAAATCTTCTCGCGAGATCGGCAGAAGGACGGCGGCGAGACGGATACACGCTCGCGAGAGTTCACTTGGCAGCCAAGTTGGGGTTTGGGGAGCTTGGGGATGCGTGTACCGTACGAGGCAACGTAGTTGCTCTTTCGCATGAAGCGCAACTAAAAGCGAAAGTGTCTGACTGACCGACGTGAAGTATTCGGGTGTTTTTAGAAAACTTTCCTAAGACGTAAAGCCGGGTTTCGGTCTGCTTTTCCCGGCTACATGTTCGTTGTTTAGAATTTTACTGAAATTTATTTATTACTTATTACTACATACATAGATTATACATAGGTTTCATATCCTTGGAGGCGGTCGTATTTGTGCAGGCTATTTAAGTTAATGAAAAACTTTTTCCTTACTTCGAAGAAGCAAAAATTACTTTTTTGCTGTTCTGTCATTTAAAATTAGTGGAGTTGCCTACTTCGTTTTGGTATGGTATAAAAATATAAAGCAGAATAAATTATAATGATCTATGACATACAAATAATGGCCTGAAACAAGAGTTCTTTAGTTCAGGTATCTTTAATTTCAAGAAATACTTTATTAAGTGTTTTTCAGAGCACATCCTGTTTTGTTTGTCTTCCCGGTTTTTATTTCAATGCCGGTAATGGAGAAATGTAAGGTCGCTGGGCCAGTTGGCAGATGAGTTCAAGGTCATACAGGTGCGATATTTCATCAGAGGATTGCGTGTTGGTAAGGCTATTCCATACCATAGGTAAACCAGAATGAAACAATATTGCCCATAACTGGAATATTCATTCTCCTATACAATTGCCAAGATTGCTATTTGTAATACAAGGATTTTCTGTTGCTGTCCCATATGTGTGTTTTTGATTTTGCAGCAAATCAGTTGAAATTCCACCAGGTCACCTAAAGATTACATCCTTCACCCGACAAATTGCTTGAGATCGGTTTGAAATGGTCTTTCTGCTCTGTTGCTTGTTGGGGATTGAATGCAAGCGACTAGTTAAGTGGATTTATCTGCTTAGCCTCTTTATGTTTTGGAGGGAGAATCCAGTCACCAGTAAACAAGGGAAGAAATATGATCCCAAATCAAGCCAAGTCATTTTAAAGACCTTCGAAATAGGAGTGTTTCTAAAAGTGAAGATTAGTAGAATTACTTATTGCAGTGTTTCCCAATCCGGTCCGCGGGGACCCACAGCCAGTACACATTTTTGCTCCCTCTAACCTCCCTGCCCCTACCAGCTCCCTGTAGCAAAAATGTGGACTGAATGTGGGTCCCCGAGGATCGGATTGGGAAACACTGACCTATTGCATTTAAAACAATGTTTATGTGCTTCTGCTGCAGACAGTTCTATGAATTTTCTTGGCAGATTTTACAGTAAGATGGGGTTTTTAAAATACTTGCTGCCAAATGGGGTTACTTTTTAATTGACTACAATCAATTTGTAGTAGGCATTTTAGGAATTTTGTAGGCAAACTTTAAAAATAAGCAATTGGTAAATAAATTATTTAATTTTTCCTTATAGTGTCTAGGTACAGCTTAAATTGTCCTTTTGGTGTACTTCCATGTGAAAAGTACCAGTAGGAAGGGTAATGAAGCTAATTGTTAATTATACAGTAGTATTTCCTTTCCGGTTCTCAGATGGCATCATTTGAATTTACCACCTCAATCTGAGGATCACTCAGTGTCCACAAGTGTTCTTTCTGAACTGCAAAACAACACGGGGGGGTTTGAGACCCACATCCCTGGAGTTGTTTGGCCTGGAGGCGGTTTACTAATAACAAAATCTATGTGTAAAAAGCCAAAAAAAACAATGCAGAAAAGGAAACTAAAACCTCTCAGGAAGATATTAGAGGGGAAAAAAAACAGCTTTTCAGGCCAAGTCTCTTCCCAAAACTCTCTGGACGTACTATACTTAGTCAGAATCAGAATTCACTTTATTCTCCAGTTACAGCTGCATGTGCTGGGGATTTGTTTTGACAGGATTGGTGCTTACATTCACAGATAACATGGAAGAACATAAATGAAGAAAATGAGATAAGTTGAAATAAAATAACAGAATAAAGGAATAAAATAGTGCAGATCAGTGTAAGAAGTTGTGCAATATACAAACAATAATTATAAAGACAATAAAGGAAACAAAGGCATATTGAACATTGGAATATAAAAGTACAAAAATATATGATGTCCAGTAGATGGAAAAGGTGTACAAAGATGCATGCAGAGTGAGTGGAGGGGGGGGGTGTGACAGAGGCAGGGACTGGGGGCTTTTTGAGTTTAACTGTGGTATGTGTTTCTGGTTTAGATAGACCTGAGTCTCTTACCAGAGGGTAGTTTTTTTTTTAACGGAACTCAATTATGAGGTTTCATCTATGAACATACCTATTATTAATAGTTACAATATGGAACAATGTATTACTGCATTTTAACTTATAAACAAGGCAGAATGCATTGGCTACTGCATATATTCTCTTACTTAGGTACTTAATTCCAAGAAAAAAATATAACAATGGTAGTTTCACGAAGGTTCTCTACCAAGAATACATGCCACTTGCTGACCCCTTTTTAGAAATCTGTCAGAAACTAGCCTTGTCAAACAAATGCTCTGATCTCACTTTTACTCACAAGAAATACCAGTGTTCTGAATGAAATGCTAGTCTTCCATTTCTTTGAGTTACTGATACTGCTCAAAAATGAGCTTCCACAGAGCCTAAAACCACTCAGATAAACAAGTTTTGTTTTGAGATTGTTCGTTTGCCAGACCAGTCATTTTTCAAAGCCTTTCATGCAGAAATTATCAAAACACGTTTTTGATGTTTTCTGTTACTTATAATCACAAACAAATACACAAGGATTTTCAGTTTTTTTATACATTTAAAAATTTTACTAAAAAATCATGGAACTAACCATGTATGCTTGATAACATTCATCAAAACAGTAAAAACTGCGTGAAGTACAACTGATGAAAAAGACACAATGTTTAATTTTTACTACATTCATTTACATTTATCTTTTCCCATGTCATAACAGACTTCAAAGCATGTGTTGGGGTTAGACTTGGCCATCTTTGACTGCACGTTTATACAGACGTTATGGCTACCAACATCCTGTACTTACATAAAATTACCTTAAATCAGCTATCCACGAGCATGGGCTATGCGTGATATCTTAAGAACAGCTACAAAACTACAAAAACATCTAAAGTCTAAAGAAATGTGGAGATCCATTAGGTTGTGTTGCCAGTATTTAAAAGCCAGGGAATTTGACTGTTTATTTGGGGAGGGTGGGAACATGAAAGAGGTAAAATATGGGCTCACATCGATGGCCACGAGTTCAGCATGTCTGATGGTGAACTGTTCTGCTTTGGCATGAATCTGATCTTTTAGGAAACAGACCTTCAACAGCAAAACTGTAAAACAAACAAATGAAAGGCATGAGAGTGTTTTGTTGAACCGCAGTGTCCAGACCGGTTGCAAACAGAAAGACCTGATAGGAGTTCAGCATCTTAACAGATGTGTCACAAGGTATCACGTATGTGTGAGTATAAATGTCTTATTATGCAAACTACAAGTCATACAAAACACCCACATTTTCACAGAACAAAATAATTTATAAAAGTGCACTCTAGGGGGGAATGATATACCTAACTTTTGTCATAAATGTGTGAATTAATTCAAAAGTGTGAAGAGATCCACTAGCGTATCTGGATGCACAATCTTGCATTCTCATTCTCAACTATAATTATCATGTTGAAAATTGCATTTGGGAATACCAATGTCATGTTTCCGTGCGGGCGAATGGGGAAGCAGGCAAATCGAGCTGAGAGGACGGGTAGAAACAGGGGTTTGTTAGCAGTGAAGCAGACAGCACGATAGACAACGGCTGACATCACCAATGACAGATCTCGGGAAACTCACGCAGACACGGACTAAATACACAAGACAGGTTGAACCGAACAAGCAACAGGTGATTACAATCGGGGTAGTACACGTAGGTAATGAGGGGCGTGGCACACACGAGGATCGTACGAGCCGGGCATGACAACTAAGGCATCAAAACACAACATTGTGAATTTACAGACACACACTAGAGACCACAGCACTTAATGCTCAAAGTGAAAAACCAAGCCTAGACTAAATAAGGGTATTCAGGATTGCACCCAACACTAGTGAGGAGTGAAAAGTCTTGACTTGGACAGTATAGGAAGGTGACCAGCCACTCCATTACTGAACAGGGATGAAGCAGGTGACACCTGAACCACGACTAGCATCAGATGATTTATTGGGACAACCAAGGAAAAAGTTAGAAATTCTGGGCCTCCTGGCAAGATATCACCTTAGGCTATAAAGTTCTGGGCCCCTTGAATCTACCAGAGTCTTCATGCCCATCCAACCTGGGCACCACAAGATCAGTAATTAAACTATAACTGAATACAATTAATTGTCTGCTTTCTTTTCAGTATGTGATTGCTGTGGCTCAAGTGTGTATGGTTTTCAATGAGGATTTAGTACAAATTCAATCATATGATGCAACTACAACTACCATACAATGCAGGTTAAAAGCACATTGACTCGTATTGACCAAAGTTCTACGATTATCAGCAAAAAAAGTTAGAGTACCATTGTAAAATTCTTAACTTATCATGATCTGCAGCCATCAGAAAGACAAAGAGCCAGCCGGTCACAAAAGGTGCATCTGTTTCATTATCCTTAAGGGACTTTGTCCTGAAAGAATAGATTCGATTTCTCCGCAAGTTGAGTTGAATCTGCTTAAGCTTACCACTCTACAGTTTTAGAGATTTCCTAGTAGCCCCTAAGCCTTCAACAGTGGCTCCAAGACAGGCTGTCCAACCATCTGCTAAAGCTGTCTGCCAAGCCAGGTGCTTTCTTTACACACAGCAGGTCACACAGCATGGTTAACTACAGCAAAAACTAATTGGAGAATGATGCAACTCTCAAAGCTTGCAAATAGCAGGGCATTTGCCTAATTTAACGATTATCTTTTATTATCTATT